GCATGCACCTATTTTCTTGCATGTTAGCAAAAACTGCCGATCACAAATAAAAGGGCACCGAAAAATTCAGTGGCCAAGTTTTCAAAGTGACAATTTAAAATGTAGTCTTGTATACAGAGAACAAGCCTTTCTGCACAGTAAACTGACAGGAATCGCTTCTAGTTAAATCTTAAATACATGTATTACAGTGAAACACTGTTGGACAGTGCTCCATCATCAATCAGTCTGTGTTCTTGAGGACACTATTTTTCGAGATGTTTTCTTTAAGAATAAAGCCCTGTGTTGTGATGAATATGTGCTAACTGATCCCCCAAGCCATTTGTATTTTTTTTTATTTGTATCAGTGTCAGAGTTGCACTTCTGTAAGATATTGCAGTATTTTATTTGTAGGCTTCATTATTTCAGGTTAAGGACACAAAACTCTTTATGCACCCAGAGTCTGCTCTGGTTCGTTTATATCCCGTATTTTGTTAAAATGTTACTGTGATTGCTAATTTTCATGACAATTGTTATTGTACCATCAGTGCTTAATGGCAAGGCATCATTATTCAATGCTGGTCAATCAGGCACTAAGACATGTGCAAGACATCAGGCTGAACCTATATAGATGTCGTGCACTCCCCTGCTAATGAATGCAGTTTTGTAAAAAGGTTTAAACACGGTTGGCATCCTTAATGTAAGGTTTGCAAAAGCTTATTCGGGAGCTGCTTTGTGTTTATACGGAGCAGATCTAAACATGGCACAAACAGAGTTAGACCCATTGTGCGCACGTGTGTGAGAAGGTACGGAGAGGACCGAATCATTGGGGGGTTTGAAACGTGGAAAGGCAGCACAATTCCAGCAATGGCTGGAGTGGGGGGAACTGATTTGCCAGGGACATCAGTGTTTGGTAATGGATGTGGGACTTGTTCTCCAAAGCAGTGGGCACCGCGTGCATCAAAGAGGCGATCCCCAGAAGCGGTCGGTGTCATTCCTCAGCTCACAACGTTGGCACTGGCTGGAGGGAGCCTCCAGCACACCAGTGGTCAGAGGTTAGGCACCGTGACCAAAAGCCAGGGTAGCGGGTCAAGCGTTTAGAAAGGAGGAGCAGAAAGAAACCCAACGGGAGTGGGATGCGCTTTCTGCGTTGTTAGGTCAGTGTGCTCTTCCAATGTGTCGGTTAACATCACCCTCACATCTGCTTTAGTTACTGTTTCTATGTGGTTTTGCACCCAAATGTTTTGGGCTGCTGTCCATGACAAACTAGATGGAACTTGGTTTAAAAACTCAGATTTTTCGTCTCTTCTAACTCAAAGTAGAATGAGCCCTTGTGCTCTTAGAATTTCAAGTATGAAAGGAACAGTAGACATTGGCTGTTAACGAGCTCGAGCGCGACGGGCTCCAGCAGAACTTGGTGTGAATTCAGTGCCTAAGCTACATCGACTAAATGGTTAATTCATCTCATATCAACAGCACTATGATTCATAATGTAAACTTGAGGAATCCTTGATGTTTCAGTCACACATTCCTCTTAATTTGGCCATGCATTCTTTTAAAGCTACAGTGTGCTAACTTAATAAAATGCAGCATGCAAATGCACAAGTTTTTGCCTTCAGGCATTTTAGCCATGGATGTTTCAATGGGTGTCTTCTTTCAAGTATATATTCTTTCTTAAATTATTTACCCTGTAAACATGCTTTGCATTTTCAAAGAAGAATCTGGGCTTCCTCATTCACCAGATTTTGTTGAATTTAAGGTGTAATAGAGATAAACTAGACTATCATCTGCTTCTTGCGAGCACGTTAGCCTTTGGGATTTTTTTGTAGCGAATGTTAGGCCCCGTTTTCTTCTCCTTTGGTACTATCGCTCCCTCCCCCACTTCAGTTCCTTGATGCTTTGCCTAGAGCAATACCCACTGGCAGTGTCTGGCTGTGACAGTACTATAGGCTCCCCCACAAATGGGGCCTGCCCAATGCTTTTTGCTGGGACAGTACTATAGGCTCCCCTACAGATGGGCCCTGCCAATGCCAACCATTGTTCTACCACTGTGAGCTGGCTTGACTGTCTTGGATCACTCAAAACCCCCTTTCCCCTTGATTTTTTTCTTTACTCAGAAGGCTCGCCCTTGCCTGTTGACTTTGAGATCTGAAATGCACTGACACCCAGAAGTTGTGTTCCCTGAGCAGCAGCTCCCAGATTCAGGCTTCAACACGCACGGCTTGCTAAGCCCTCCTCAGGACTGTCCTGCTGCTACCAAACGGCTCTATCGTTCTCCTCCTAGCCCCACCCTCCTGGCAGTTTGCAGTTACTTTAATTTTACTTGCTCACTTGAAAGTAAAACAGTAAAACTTGATGTTATTCTCTTTTTAAAGATATAAAATTAATCTTTAACTGTGGGCTTGAATATTAAAAGTATATAATGCTTCAGTGTAGGAGTCTGTTGATAACATCCATCCTATTTCATGATTAATTTGTTCCTTTTAATATGATATTCTTTTGCTGCACTGTGCAGACTAATTCAGATTCCTAGAAATTGAACTTTGATATGTATTTCCTAGATCCACACCGTAAGTGAACCTTCAATTAGCAGATACAGGTGGCAGCATGCCTCGCTCAGTGTTCCCTTGACAAGGATTTTCGGGACGTGGACACTGATTAAATAATCTTGCAATTGGGTGTGTACTGCCAGAGTATTAAAAATAAAGCATTTGGAGGATTTGGTGCTTTTTTCAATTTTTTCTTTAATTTTAAGTCTCAGATGATGAAATGCTTTTTCAGAGGGCCAGAGATAGGAGGAGTTGATTTAAACACTCAGTATGTTATGTATGCCTTTGCCTAACTATGTGTTAGATTAAGCGAGTTTCACTCACAGTTAATCCTTTGTAAATTAGCATTATGGATGCCTTGGGGCCCACATCCCACAAATAAAATGGTTGTCAAGCCAGCTGCACTGTGTATTACTTAAGGCTGAATGTTTTAAGAGTTTTCATGCTTTTAATCTATTTCACTGCTGAGTTTCAATTTTGCTGAGTGTCTTTCCAGGGGTGATGAGGGTGAGTGAGTAAATATATATTCTGGTTTTCATGCATTTGCCTGGGCAAATCGTTTGTTATCAGGTGTTTGGCAGAGAATGTCACACCCCGCCACAAAAGAGAAGCTTGTAAGTTCAGGTGTTAAATTGAAGTACAAACCAACAAGGACCAAAAGCCCTTACATCCCTCCCTCCCTCCCTCCTCCTCCTCATCCTTTTGGCAGAGTAAATATTGCCTGTTAAGTTTGAATTAGCTGTCATCGCGAAAGAATTAATGCTGTGGTTGAGCCTTTCTAGTGAGGAAGGGAAAAATAAACGAGACAGATCTTAGTTCAGCTTTAAGTGATAAATGAGGACAAAGCAGCCCATTCATCTCCTGCTAGGAAAGTGGACACAAACACTAAAGCAGTTTTGCGGAAGACGTGTCAGCAAATGTGATCATTTTGTAACCTGTCAGGAGGATAGAGCGCTAGTCCTTTTAGAGTGTCACAGGGGAGGGTGGCTGTCTGATGTGGCAGTCCTCATCCATCCATTTACTGCTTTTTCTTTAGGTGGGGGGTAAGCAAGGAGGGAGCTGGAGTTGGTTAAAACTGCATTTTTCTTTACACTTTCCAATATAATTTATATGTATATCCACCCGCATCCAAATGAAAAACATTTACCAAGGAAAACTCCCCTCTGCTCTCTAGAGTTTCTTCTCTCTTTCACCGTGTGAAATACGCTCATTTTAACACATTGCATTCCCTGTCTTCAACTTGGAGCCTTGTACTTGGTTTGACGTTTCACAAAGCAGAGTTTTACCTCTTACCATTGTCCGATTGGTGAAGACTCTGGTTTGGTTTGGTTTGGTTTGGTTTGGTTTGGTTTGGTTTGGTTTGCAGAAGCTTGAGAAAAAATACAACAAGAATAAATATAACTTAGGGTTCTAATGTTGGTTTTGTTTGGGGTTTTTTTGCTATACCTTTCCAATTCTGATGATATGCTTCATGTACAAATATGTTTTGCAAAAGTTCCTGTTTCATGAAGAGCCTATGAAAATATTCTTCCTCCTCTGTGAGAAAGCAATAACAAACGCTGAATTCTTACAATCCAGAATCGTCCCATAAAGTGCCTCAAATCCAACTCTTTGTTGATTTATTCATTTTAATTGACCTATTAATTTCAGGCAAAATCTGAAGCAATGTGGTGTCTGATTTTAGACACAGGGATTTCTCCCAACAAACGGTTGAACAATATTAGGACTTTCTACTTCTGGCATCTTTTTGTTAGTACTAATTTCCTTTTTTTTTTTTTATACTACATAGAAAATGTAACATTTGCCTATTACCATAAGTAAAGGTATGCTACAGAGACAGGAGATGCTTTTACAACATAAGCTTCACAGTTTGACACTTGCTTCTTTATATCATCCTGTTCTTCAAAACTATCTTTTATACTTTTCCCTTGGTATTTTAGTACAAGTAAGTATCTCATTGACATGTGTTTCCTTGAAATCTTGTACGTTAATAGTAAAATCCCTTGAAAATTAATAAATTGTTTCTGTTCAGATTTAAAAAAAAGCTGTGAAGATTTCAGAATGGCTTAAAAAATGTGATGATATTTACTATTACAGACCAACCTGCTTGGATTGGATCGACTGAGGACTAATTATTTCATTTGTTCTTGGAAGGTTGATAAATTGCAACATGATGCATTTCAGTTATTCTAATATGCATATAAGTATATGCATAATTAAGAAAAGCCTAATTCTCTCCCGAATGCAGGAAGTTGGATTTTATAGCTACATAAAGAAATGTTTGGAAGCACTGGAAATTGAAAGAAGTAAAAACCAACGAAGGATGATATAGGAAAGCCTACATTTGTGGGCACGTCTTTTCTCCAAGATATTTATCTGTGTGTTGCTTTTTATGATATTTATATATATTCTGCTATTTTGCTTTACTGTGTTTTATTCACTGGGGTTTTTTTTGTCTCTTCTGCTTTTTTCCAGGATCATCCAAAACCGGATTTTGATTGTTGTTCTGGCAGTCATCATCATCTTCACCACCATCATGGCTATTTATTTTTCTGTCAGGGGACGCTGATATCTTTGTTCTTCACTAAACAGCAACAAACTGCTTGTTCTGAGTAATTAAGACGAAGTGGTCACATGAATCATTCTCTTGCACTGACAGAGTCTCCCTCTCTTTTCCACTATTCAACTCAGGTGCAAGTGGTATAAAATATTTTGTATTATTGATGGTGTAGTTGATGGCATGTGGGGTTGATTATTTTTTCTTAATTTTTTTGTCTTTATCTGAGTGTTTTCAGAACCTTAATATTTGTTGGGGTGAGGGCTTGTTCCAGTATAAAAAGACTTCACTTGTGTCGAATACTGCCCCAGACAATTAGCCTGTGAGTTGCCAGAGTTTAGCAAGGGAAGAGGGGTCTTTGCACTTCTCTTGTGCTATGCGGGGTGTATGAATATCAAGCAGTATCTGACCTTCTGTGATAGAGAATATAAGTAAAGCAGAGACCAAATGATGTAGAAAGTGAACCTGTCTCCTGTGACTAACTCCCGAACATGAATTAGTGTAATAGGCGTAACCTGGTTAAGAACAGTAGTTAGTTTTAAAAAGAGAGCAACCTTGGGATGATTTTTAATATCTGGTGTGAATCCAACACTCGATTTAACTTTTTTTTTAATTAGGCTTTCTTTTCTGCTTTTTCAAAATAATTCCACTTTCATCAAGATCATGATAATGCATCACTTGCCCAAAATGTAGTTGTGACCACAGCCTATACACACTAGGCCCTTATTGAAGATGTATAAAGATGCTTATCTATT